ACTCAAACACCAAAAAAAATAATAATCAGTAATTGGGTGCTTTCCTTGAAACCCAATAGCATATATTGCCTTTCCTTATTCAACACATCTTGAGAATGTCATCTTTTAGGCCTCAGAGGAAATTGGAGCATTTCTACATATCTGCCTAGCTTCTCCTAAAGCACTGAATAGCCTCCAGCTACCTATTACATTCAGTCAATAAAATTTGAGATTTATCTATTCGTGTATACCCCACACACAATGTTACGTTACTATTTTGCTCATACTGATACTTACTTGAGCGTCTTTCTTTGGTTTGTGAAGCTGGGATTGTAAATAGAAGACTACCAAAGGAGAATGCCAAAGTCTGGTACTACTGCTAAGCTCATCCGAGCACTCTTATTGATATTGCACGTCTGCAGTGCAACTGCTGAGAATTTTATTGCAGAGATCATTTGAGCCTGATCATCCTACAGGTTGCTTGTTATCCACCCATCGAACTCTTCAGTCAGCCAATACAGAAGTCCGTATAAGCTTTCCACGTGAATTTCAAAGAGCTTTTGAAAACATATTTATTAAAAAAAGTAGGAATCTCCGCTGGCTTATTGAGCCATTTTTAAGTCCTAATTCTGAAGGTGTGAAACTGGCCATTTCCCCAACATAATGTCGTCTTTGTATTTTGAGATTTCTAGAATGTTGCCTCAAAAGTTTTACTATTTCCAACACTTTTGGAAGGTAGTTTCGGGCATGTGTGGATTTCAACAACAACATAGACTGCAAACACAGCTCCTGTGATATAATACTTCTTTGTGCAAACTGTTCTTTATATTTAGCAAAGTAATAATTTAGAGCAGAATTGCCTCTCCATTTCAGTGAAGGACCTGCCATACAGGTCCACACATGTCATCTCAAATTTTGCAGATGTGAACTCCCTTATCTCTTTGAGAACTGAATCGTTGTCATACAGAACCTTAAATATGAGCATGTGTCTGCTTTACCCAAAATTACAAGGGCCAGTGGATCTTAACAAACATAATCAACCCTAATATTAAATAACACCAAGTATTCCCTGTGGGTTTTGAGTATGCATCTAAGAAATGTAAACAGGTTCACACACAAAAAAAGGCTTGTTGCAAGATTTTAAACTAGACTCAAAAGCAACCCCTTTGGACATTTAGCAAGTATCAACTTGGTTACAAATAATTATGACTCAATCCCAAGCTTCCTGGAAATCAGTTTGGAAACATTAGACATCAATACCTTCTGAAAAGCCACTCTGTATGTAGATAACTGTGTTGATCAGGCCCATAAGAGTTGCCTTAAGAATCCCTTATAACAGGATAACGTCTGTTACCATCACATTGTTTCTGATGGTTATGGGACTATTTAACAGAAGCTTGCAAGTCAAAAAGTTTAAAAAATTATAATATGAAAGTGAGATTCTTGTACTTTTTTCCCCATTGGGCTTTAGAGAGATTGTAAATGAAAGCTGTTACTATCTATAGCAGGATTTGAAATGTCCTAATTTTCACTAATGTTTGATATACGATCAGTGTGGTGTATTCAAATGCTAGTAATTACCTAACTTCTAAGGGCTGTAGGAAGCTGAAAAAGCGGAATATTTTAGTATAAAGCATAATTTGGATGTCTTCAAAGGGATGTTCCAGCTGAGATTCTACTGTATTGTACATGTTGCTGATGCAGCAAGAGAAACAGTAGAATACATTAGGGAAATTTTTTTAGGAAAGATACATGAAGACAGATCACTTTTATTAATAAATTACTTTTGCAGTAATGCATAAAGACCATCTACGAGAAATCCATAGCACACAAACCTGTACAGAGGTGTGATTTTTGTCTAGTATTATATGTTTACAAGTAAAAATAGTGAAAATGCAATAGAATTGGATTTTTAGTCCTTTTTGTTTTGTTTTTCAGGCACTGGTTTGTTGATTATACAAAATGAATGTGAATAAGCTTTTTAAAAACATATTTTCAAGATTTAATTTTGACAGGTTGCTATTTTCCTTGTATTTATCAATTATTAATAAATAACGCATGAATCCAGTGGTTCATTTATTCATTGTGCTGCCCTGTTTCCCTGAAAATAAGAACTCTCTGGATAATAAACCCAATCAGGCTTTTGAGTGCATGCGCTAAAATAAGCCCTCCCAAAAAATATTGCACCACAGCAGCAGCCATGAGGTGACCACTCTCGGCGTCTCCTGCACCTCAAAAATAATAAGACCTCCCCAAAAATAAGACCAAGCACTTATTTTGGAGGTCAAAAGAAAATAAGATCCTATCTTATTTTCGGGGGAAACACGGTAGTAGAAATTTTCTGTTTCAGAGGGTTAATGTTAATTATAAACATCTTGTCCATATAAAAACACCCCACTTCATATGTATGTCTGTGTGTGTGTGTGTGTGTGTGTGTGTGTGTGTGTGTGTGTGTGTGTAGAGAGATATAAACATGCTCAATTTCTTCCCTGTCCTCTTCCTGGTAAGGAATAAATACATTTTTTTAAACTGAGGATATTCTATTCATGGAGATATTTGTTTCAATTCAAGTATATTAAAGTCATTAAACATTGCTAAATTACCAGCTGCAGTGATTCACTTAACAACTGTGGCAAGAAAAGTCATAATACTGGCCAAAACTCATTTAACAACAATTTTGAGCTCAGTTATGGTACTGTCCAAAGCCAAGACTTGGAAGTTCTTTATTAAACTGTTTGGCATGTTAGCCCCACCTGCACTGTAATTATTGTGATTATGTAAGTAAACAAGCATAAGAATAAATTGAAA